TTCCGTGTACTACTGCTCGGGATAATTTTGTTAATCCAGCAAATTAATTTTGTTAATCCAGCAAATTAGATCCAGCAAATTGCGATTAGTATTCGTAACAAATCTTCTTGCTGTCCATATAATAACGAACAGATTTTGCTACAACAGCAAAAAATCTGCTGTGTCAGCAAATTATTTTTCTCCGTGTACTTGACCGTGATTGGCCAATTTCTTAAAGCTTAGGGCTTAAATCATCTATTGTAGACTGGGACTTAAGGAATAACGCGTTAACAATAGTACCTCAAGAGTGACGAGGTAAGCTATTGAAAACACATTTACGCTCCTGAGCCACGAGCGGCTCGCGCGGAACGGCGAGGCGAAGGGAACAGCGGCGGACGGAGTCAACGGAAAATCGGCCGCGAAGTGACCTATATCTCGCCGAGCTCTGGGTTACAAGATACGAAGCACACGATATTTTTACTCGAACTCGATTCACTTCTCATTGAAAATGATTGTTGTTACATAAGAAGCATAATCCACTGCGCAGTTATGTACGGACACAAAAATAATATACCGAGTGTTATAAAAATGCCCGGGCACGGTCGAATATCTCGATAAGAAAGTTTTACTAGAAAATGTTTCTGACGAAAGTCGTTTGGTTCCGAGGGGGACATGAGATGGTGTCATTAATTTGACCTTGAATAATTGCTTGAAGGTCACGCGAAGGTCACCTTCATTTTTTTTTTAAATGGAACCTCCTATTGTTTATTACATTATCTCAGTCTACTAATTAATATGAACAACTTTTGTCTGAAACATTTTTTATTTGCCTAATACTTTTTGAGATATTCAAAAGAAAATTGATACACGGAAAAAATTAATTTTGCTGTGATAGCAAAATCGCCGTTGCTACTGCATATTCGTAGTAATAGCAATAAAATTTAGTTGATAGAACTAATTTTACGAATTATTCGTCATTATAGCAAATCTATTTTGTTACGAGAATAGAACAAAATTCGCTGAGTGTATTTGTAATTAAAATCACATTAATTTGCTACTGAAGCAAAATAATATATTCTTAGCAAATACATTTGCTGTCACAACGAAATAATTTGTTAATTCAGCAAATTATTCCAGCAAATTGCGATTAGTATTCGTAACAAATCTTCTTGCTATCCATATAGTAACGAACAGAATTTGCTACAACGCAACAGCATAAAATCTGCTGTGTCAGCAAATTATTTTTCTCCGTGTAACTTTTTCAAAATTTGGCTTATGATATCTCAAAAAGTATTAGGCAAATGACAAAATGTTTCAGACAAAAGTTGTTCGTATTAATTAGTGGAATTAGATAGTATAATAGACAATAGGAAATTCTGGCTTTTGTCAGAAACATTTTCTAGTAAAGCTCTGCCTTATCGAGATATTCGACCGTGTCCAGACTTTTTTTAACAACCAATATATCTTTATTATGACAAGATTAAGAAATGTATATATAACGTTAATATAAGGTCATTTTTAAAGCAATTTGAAAACAAAATAGAAATACGTGCGTGCTGCATGAAAAAAGAATAATTGGTATCATCTTCTCGGATAACAATGAGACACAGAAGTCACACGTGTAATGCTGAGAACGATATAGCATAGAAACTCGACATCAGAAACATGAAGTAGAACGGAATTCTCATATATATGTTGTTTAGATTTCATTAGATGCAAATAGCTGCAAATAATAACGCAGAAAATGCAAATAATAATAGCGTAGTTATATCAACTGACGTAATACTGTGTCATAAGAGACACGCGCATACAGTGCAATAAAAAAGTATAAAACAAAATTATTAGCATGAGAATTGAAGGTCTTTCTCAACTACATACAGTTATTCTTTTCATTACTTTTCATGCTGGCGTAACGTTGAATTATGCCGATTTATTCATGCTGAAACACGAAACATCCGTATAATCTATGTACCTATACAACTCAATTTGAAACGTTAATGCCATTTTAGGACCTGGTGCAGTTGGCCAATTGCAGAGGTGGCCAATTAAAAGTTAGTTGTATATAAGTTATATTCGTAATTACAGAAAAATATGTCTTTAAAAAGAGTTAATAATTCACGAATAAAAACTTTCGGGGGATATTTTGGCTACATGATAACTTGATAGTTGATACCTCTATGTGTAATTTAATATACAACAATGCCCGTATCACGTAATATTAAGAACCTATTAAACACAAAATGCAAAATGCTTCAAAAAGATCAATGTTAACATATATTAGCGGAGAAGTTACACAGTTTCTTTCCGACGCGAGTGCAGATCTATTCTTAAAGAATTTAAAATTATTTTCTCATGTTTTTTTTTACAATCTTTATAGCGACTACGCTCATCCGTCAATTCTCGCGAGGTATTCGTTCCGTGTTTTTTTTACACGGTTGAAAATTCCATAAATGGAATCTGCTAAAATAAAAAATTACGTAAGAAAAGAAACCCGTATATTATAATATATGTACTAATAAAGCTATACTTTCCTTTCTTGTTCCTATTTGACTTTAGTTTCGTTTTCCGCGTAAACGAGGCGAATTTTACTGCGTAAAAGAAAACTCGCGTATAAGAAGTATCGCATAAATCGATGAATATAAATCTCTAAAATTATTTCTTATTTAATTTGCAACATAGGCCGGTGTATAGTCCGTTCTCATAAAATCTTACCAATCTTAATGTGTTATAAACCAATCACAAATATTAACAACTGAAGACGTTATTTAAGATGATCTTGAAATAAGGATTACCAGCCATAGACGATTATTCAATTAACTTCACTAAACATGGCAAATTTGACTGTTACTTTTTCGATTCAAGTGTGCTTTATGTGCGAGACTACGCCAATTCTCTTTTATGATGTCGCTTCTGTTATCGATTTGTTTTTCTCCACATGTAAAATAGCAGGCCGTAATTAAAAAGGCATTAATTGTATAAATTGGCAACTTTTACAATTACAATAATGGATTTTCAATTTAATGATACGAAGTCTAATTTTTAAAAACCCAAATCAGGAGAGACAAACTACGACAAATATAAATATCTACCACTCGCAATTTCGCAAATAACATCTCGATATTGCCCAATCTAAAAACAAGAAATTTCCGTTTACATAAATACCTGTTAACATTTGCGTAATTACCTGGTTCTTATACCAGAGCTAATCCATTCTTATTTAATAAATTAGTAGTCGCGTAACGACGCGTTCAACCAGTTCTTGCTGCATCATCGAGTACCATCTAAATACAGGGTGTTAATTAAAGACCATCCACTAAGTACATAGCGTTATTCCTGATATAAATCTGAGTCAAAAAGTCCTGAACCATTTTTTTCTATCATGCTTAATAATTAATGAGTCAATCCACCCGAGCACCGGCCTTTAACCGGCCTAAATTATTATATAAAGATTTTTACTTAGTGGACGGTCTTGAATTAACACCCTGTACATCGCATTATGAGACTTCTACTTTTTATAATGCAAATCTAGCGTACAGGTAGTGATTCAACGATTATATTATTGCAGGTGAACGAGGGACGCAGAGGTTCTCGTAAGATTAATTGGAGCAGAGATCCGATTGGCGCAAATAATCTCTGTAGCGGAAGCTGTTGAAGAAATATTACGCACGAGAATGAGAAGCCTCTGTTTTGAATAAAAGTGCTGCTCGCGAACACGAATGATGTAAAAGATCATAACGCAATCCGAGTGCAGGATAGAAAAAGTGCAATCGCATTGCATACACTATTAGAAATTACACACACGACTCGAACTGTTGTAAATATCGTGAAACACTTGGCGTTTAAAAAGCGTAAAAGTTCATAGGAAATGACGATGCACGAGTTGAACTCTCGTATGCACAAACATATTGAGCCAGTGATTATGAATAAGAGATAGAGATACTCGTGAATCAGGCTCGGTATTAGCCGCGTCTAATGTTTCTTTCAACATGCGATTGTAACAATGAATAACCGCGGGCGTATCTTAGCGCAATGCAATGTACATTAGACACACATAATTCGCCCCACCTACGGCAACCGACAAATTTTTTGTAGTGTTTCCGATAAGCCGATAAACTTGGGTGAAGTGATGCAAGAGAAGTGCGGCGAGAAATAGTAAGGAAAATACTCTCAGTAGGTCAATAAAATCCAGTAAGTCATGTCGACGAGAAGACGTACAACAAACGCGCTGTGTACGACGCGGGTCCGGATGGTCGACATTGAATTCAAGGATCTGTCGTACGACGTTCAGGTTGGATATTGCGGAACCACGAAGCAGATTTTGAAGAATTTGAACGGAATCTTCAAGGCCGCGGAGCTGACGGCTATTATGGGACCGTCCGGTGCCGGGAAGTCGACGTTGTTGAACATTCTGACCGGATTCCAACAGGGACTAGTGACGGGCACGCTCGAGTACGTCAGTAGCGAGGGTAGGCAGAGCTATGGCCAGTACAAGAAGCAATCGCGCTACATCCAACAGACGGACAGCCTGTACGGTCTGTTCACCGTTCAGGAGAGCATGATGATGGTGACCTATTTAAAGCTGGAGAACAGTGCAACGAAGGTATTCAGGCAGATACTGATCGATAACATCCTGGACACGTTGAAGCTATCGTTGGTGAAGGAGACGAGGGTCGACCGGCTCAGCGGAGGGCAGAGAAAGAGGTTGAGCATCGCCCTGGAACTGGTTGACAATCCGTCGATAATGTTCCTGGACGAACCGACCACCGGCCTGGATTCATTGGCGTCCCTGCAGTGCATCTCCGCGTTGCAGACTCTGGCAAAGAACGGTCGAACGGTGATCTGCACCATCCATCAGCCCAGCGCCGCGATCTACCAACTGTTCGATCATATTTATCTGGTGGTCGAGGGCCAGTGCTTGTACGCCGGCACACCCGACAACACGGTGAGCTATTTCAGCCAGCAAGGTTTTCGGTGTCCCAAGTACCACAATCCCGCGGACTACATGCTGGAGGTGGTTAACCGGGAATACGGCGATTACAACGATCAGTTGGCCGCGGCAGCCAATGAGTATTGCCAAAGAGAGGAGACACCCCAGAAGGCGCACGTCATGCGAGAAGCGACGTTCTTCGAGAAAGTGAGACTGATGGACTCGCCTACGGAATTTATGAAATTGAAGGTGCTGCTATACCGTTGCGCCATGATAATATACCGAGATTGGTCGGTCAGTCACATCAAAGTGATCTTGCATTTCCTCGTGGCTATTTTGTTGGGCTTGCTGTACGAGCACGCCGGTCACGATGCCAGCAAAACTATCAGCAACATAAGTATGTTCGTGGTGACCATGGTATACTTCGTTTACACCAGTATGATCCCGGCCGTATTGAAATTCCCTTTGGAGCTGGCTATACTGAAGAAAGAGCGCTTCAACAACTGGTACCAGCTGAGAACTTACTACGCGGCCACGCTGGCGATCAGTATACTGTTGAACATATGTTACACTTTTATTTACTCGTCCATCGTCTACGTGCTAACCGGTCAGCCCATGGAATTGTCCCGGTTCCTCATGTTTCTACTCATCACGATCCTGACGGCCTTCATTTCGGAAAGCGTAGGCTTGGGTCTAGGGGCAATTTTCGATCCCGTTAACGGTACCTTCTTTGGGGCTATTACCACGTGTGCGATGGTGGTGCTAAGTGGTTTCTTGGTATTCTTCAATCACATGCCGGAGTTCCTTTACTACGTTAGCTACTTGAATTACTGCAGATTCATCTTCGAAGGCTTCGTACAGGCGATATATGGCTTTCAACGAGAGACAATAAACTGCCCGAATCACGTCGTGTATTGTCACTTACGAGCACCGTCGGTTATACTAGAAGAGATGCGTATGTCCAAATCTATATTTTGGATCGACGCCACCGTCCTACTCGCCTGGTTCGTAGTTATTCGGTTCATGGTATATGTGTCGTTAAAAAGAAGGCTTTCGAAGATATGCTGATATCACGCGCTATTTAAAGCGAGTATTACATTCGTATTGAAAACGTGATGCAATCTACCGAGATTCATCCGGCTTCCGTGAGCAAAACGCTGCTTTCGAGGATCACTGAAGAGGCACCGGAGAGGTTGTGACATACTGCAAGGACATGTTCGCAGAATATGTTAGGCGAAATTTGCATAATATCTGTATGGCTGTGACAGCATAGTGTGCTTATTGATTTATAATAAGACCTTTCCGCCAAGGCTCTTTTCGCAAAGGTAGAAGTTAGCGATAGTTTCCAAGTACACAGTACGCTTATCTCTTCGTAGTAAGATTTTATCGTAATCTCAAAGAAAGACAGAGTGATAGTTTATATGTAAAGTCAAGACGTCGGCAGCAACGAAAGAAGTGCTTACGCAACTTGTATACAGCAGGAAGTAAAAGTAACGCTTGTAATTGAGTCGATTTTTCCAACTTGATCTGATACAAACCAGCGGGATAAGATGCGGATTATGGTGTACGGCTGTAGAAAGTGCACTGTGTGACATTGTGGACGCCTAGTACGCGACGATACTTTCACGCTCGTCCTCGATGAGGCACGTGCTGGGACGATGATGGACACGGTGCAATGTATTTCGCGCGGCTATAATTAAATATGCATGAACATTCAATTCCGCTTTAATAATTTATAACAAATCCGTGCTCGACGAGGCACTTACTGAAATGTGGTATCTCACGCAGTTTAATAATTGAAGATTTATATTTTTCTTGAGCCATTAATCGTTTTTTTGTTAAGTGGGTTATTATCAGATCAAATTATCAATGCCGCCAAAATTGACGCAGCAGCTTGAGAAAATATAGTTTAGTCAATTTTATTCATTTACAAATGTGTGTGCTAAATTTTCTCACATTTGTCGACATATATATATCACCGTTATATAAAAGTAATCGTTCCCTGCACTTGTAAGTTTCCTTCCAATTTACTAATATGGTAATCAGTGACTTATGCGCGTAATATTTATAGCTATACAGTTCTACTTAAGAATGTGCACAAAACTCTTTCTAAAAGATAATAAATCAGCAGACAAGTATTTTCCATTGAATTAATTATTAATAACGGACATCATGTGATGACAAAAATTTAGTCTTCGTCGATGAAGAAACTATATACTCAAATAATATATTTATTGTATTATTTCGATGTTAAGGATATTTATTGCAACAACTAACATCGACGAAGGACTATTAACAATATATTAAAAATTTAATATTGTATCTCTTTCGAATAAATTATCCGATTTTATGTGATAAAAATGTTTCTCCTAAGCCCACTCCATTAAAAATAATTATGCAACGCAATGTGTATTTAGCTTTCCCATGTATGGAGAAAGAACCGAATTAAAAGTGATAAAACAGCGAAAAGATATTTCGCGAGTTAGATAATGTAAAGATAATGTAGTCGGGTCTTAGGTCAAAAACCACTGAACGCATGGAATTCGCAATAAGATTGCTTAACCGATGCTAACCACGTGTTTCACATTAGGCTGAGAGCTGCGATGAACCGCTAATATCGCGGTCGTGCAAACGTAATTTCGTAATAATATTATATAAGACTGTATATACGCAATAAGAGTTGAGAAATGGTCAAATTAATAGCCTTTCACCATCGAGTGGAATTACCCACAGTAATGAATTCCTCGGCAATGATCGGGAGAAATAATATTGTTATTCGATCTCGCAGATTAAATTAATAAGTTTATTTCCGCTACGATTCTCTTCGGGGAAGAGGCGATCGGTGACTTATCAAAAGTGCAGCACGATGATCTTGTCTTGTATGTAACATGAGGTACGAGAAATATAAACTTCAAAATACGGACTACAAATGCTTGCATGTACTGCAATAGCTCGTATAGTTTTGCGGCGTATCAATTAAAAATGAGCAAGTACAGTACCGTGGCGTGCTGTACTTGTTAAAAGTCTAAAAGTATCTACATACTGTGTATACATATAGCTAATCATTATTTTGCGTATAATGAAATACAATTGAAACTTAAATCAGTATGCGTATCATAGGAGCAAAACGTAAAACGTAATGTAAATATTATCTAAAATACTGAGAGTATAATATACAAATAAAATAACGAGTGAGAAAGAAAAAAAAGGGGCAAATAATGGCAAATGTGGCGCGTCTATTAAAATTATATTAGAGAAAAAGAAAGAAACGTTTAACGGATCGCTCGGGGATCCACGTCAGGCGACACTGTGATTATGGAAAAAATGGCACATTTATTATATTAGTGATAGTAATATTACTAATGATATAATTACATATTTTTTTTCTTTCTCAATCGATACACTTGTTCACTCTCTCATATTCTTTCTCTCCCTCTCTTGCACTCTTCCGTTTATTCTATTTTCCTTTCTCTCTCTCCCTCTCTCTCTCTCTGTTTTACTCAGTTTAGATATTTATATTCATCTCGTACTTCATTAATATTAATAATCGCATTCTTCTTAATCGCATGTAGGGTCGAAGAGATCGGTTTCAACATCCTCCAGGCCCATTCACACAAACTACCTACAACCCACTTACGCATTAATCTTTTTTTATTACATATTATACAATATTATATATCTAATATAGTTACACTCTTATATGATATGATAATTATCGATTCGCAGTTGTACCAATAAAACTGAACCCTTACACGCAATTAGATAGTTCCTTATGTTCCGCAACAAATAGTTCCCTCTTCTCGACATTCTCATTGATATTTGCCGCTTAACAGTAACCATAAATTGAAATTAGAGTTTACGACTCATACCGAACGAAAGTGTGGTGCCCCGTATTCTCGATAGGCGCGTACTTGAAAATAACGTCATTGTTAAGAGTATAATTATTTCGTTTCATGTACAAAGGTCTGTGTGAAGGGGCCACATACGGCCGACAATTTCGACTTCGACCCCCCTGTGTAGACCTCTTCGCTCTCCAGCTTCATTTTGACTATCTACGACTATCGACACGTGTCTAGCTTAGACTGGCTTATGAGCTATTTATTGTCGTTATTATTTTACATGATTACCTTCGCGAATACAGATGTGTGATCGTGTATTTTATTACGTGTCTGTGAGCGGCTCTTTTTGCAATTTATCGCAATGTACATTTATCGTTACGTTCTCTCTTCCTCTTTTTCGCTCTCCCTCCTTTTCTTTTTGTTAAATATAATTTTATGAAGCGTCGCCGAAGCAACGGGGCGTGATTAATGATTATTAATTAAACGTGGAGCGAGGTTGTGCGAGTTCTTGCCGATCAGATTGCCTATAGTCTACAGATCCTGATCGAGAACGAAAGTGATTTTATGATAGGTCTACGAACTAGTGAAAATATGTAAGTTTATAGCTTATAAAAATCAGTATTGGAATAATCTTTTCAATTCTTCTCGTGTCTTGTGTTATTGGTTGATTTGGAAAATAAAATATTTTAAAATATTTATGATGTTGACATTGTATCAAATATTACAGGGTATTAACAGTACTTCGTACTGTATGATCGCATTCTGATTCGCAATCATAGAAACATCTTTATTTTACATTTACATATCATGCATGCGTATGTGTTCAACTGTCTTTAAAATATTTTTTCACATATCATATATCGTGCAACTGAGGCAGATATTCAGTCTAAATAATTTGAACGTTTAACAGATGAAAGAAAACAAAATTACCTTGATAAAACATTTGTTAAAGAAACTTCTGTTTCGCTGAGTTGCCAGTCGAAATTCGAATATAATTATAAACGTTACATAAAATTTTCAACGATAAAATTATATAGTTGAGGCATTGCTATACAAAGATATTCGAATTGAGTTTAGTTAAAAATTGAGCGAAAGAGAGAAAATATCTTGCGGATACCTACAATAAATACACATATGATATGTTTGACATATTTTGATATGAGTTTAGATCTTAAAAGTCGGCAAAGGAAAAGCCTGTCACAGAGTCTGAGCAAGAATATATAACATTCGTACGATCTTCCGTAATTTCTATGAAATACTGTTATGCTTTTGAAGAAAAATATAGCTATAGATATATAAGTTACGCAAGAGAAGATACTCGTGATAGATGAAAAGAGAAAAGAAAGTAGAACGGAAAAGAGGCGAAATAAACACGGGCACTCGATACGTTTGCGTTGGTTTCTTTTTTCAATAAAATTTATTTAAGAATCTAAATAAATTAAAATACATGGCAACTGGATACAGATACGTTTGAGCTATATTTTTGTTCAAAAACAAAAATGTGTCCCGTTCTTTATCTCTCACGAAAGATCTTATCAACGATAATTAATCGATAATAATAATAATAATAATTAATAATTAATCATGATTATGACAAGTTGATTGGTTTGGCTCTTCTCTTGTGCGAGCTAAATCGTGTCCATAACGACTTTATATCACGCCTTACTCAGCTTATTTATTTCGTTCGCTCGATCTACATTCCACTTCATCGCGTATATTGTATAAGTACAGAAAATCTGCCCGAATAATCGGTGGCAAAGATAGCGCAGGAAGAGGAGCGCCCTGAAGATCCGAGAAGGTCCAGAGTGATTCGACGATGTACCAAAACCAGTTGATGCCATCGAAAGATCGTCTTTTCTCCAGTAACGCAGCATCGTGAAAGAAAAGCACTGCATAACGCATTTGTGAAAGTGCAAACGTTGTTATATATTATAACAAGAATATATTTCACATTAAGCGTTGTAGTATTTTCCGCAATGCGCACGTCTTGGCACATATAAATGCTTTCCAATTCTTGCTGATAATGTATACGCATGTCTCGTAATTGTGAAAACGTAAAGCGTGCGACCTAGTCAATAATTGTGGAGAGAGAAATCTCTTAATTCTTCCTTTTTACTATATATTTTTACTGCCCAATGCTTTTCTCAATGCCGCAATAATATTTGAGACAATCCATTTCGTAGATGCAATTTGTACCCGTGTCAAGACACGGACAATAAAAGGCATAATATATAAAAATTATGAATATATAATTCAAGAATGTCCTAAAATGTCTTAAATTAAAAATCCTTCATTATTCTTAAATTAAAGATCGTTCGAACGACCATTGTAATAAATTGATTAACAATCATTTGTTGAAAGTAATGCAAATGTTATCTCTTATAGTGTTACTTCTTATAATGTACGCTTTCGGTTTTGGGTACGGATCGTTCACGCTATTTTCCTATGATTACTATAAAAATATTGTATATAAAATCCGAAACAATTAAAATGGCTGGTAATAAAAATGAGATGCGATTTGCGTATAATAGCATGTAAATTATGCTTAATATAAACTATAATACAACTGAATGCATTAATATCCATCTCGATATAAAACCAAGAGAGTCCTAAAAATGGCACTTAAATGGCATGCATAATTGAATTATAGCCGTAAAAAAAAAAACACTTGAAGAATAGTAAAATAAATACATGCTGATAACTTTGTTAAGTAGGGTATCTTCACGGCCACATTTTCTTACTTTCTCTGAGATAGTACTGATGTTAAAAATGAGAGTATTTTAAACGACGCGATGTTGTAAGAAACATCCATTATTATTTATACGTTCCTTGCAGCTTCTTTTTATACACAATTAACATGTATTTTATCTTTCTTCAGTTTTGAAAAAGTAAATAAAATCACATTCTCATTTCCTTTGTTACCCGAATCAAGTTGCAAGCTGTGTCAGCAAAGAAGCTGCAAGGATCGAGATGCGATTTTCTTACCACACCGCGGACCAGTTACAAATGGTGTTCTTGCGAGCGTGAACGAACCGCTTAGCATCTTCAATTCACATTCTGAACGCTCGTAAATAATAGTTTCTATATACAATATTGCCAACGTCTAATGATCAACATAAAGGCGACATAATTCGCATGTCATATTGGCTAAGAATTAGCGCCGGTCTACAATACGTGGAGTAAGCGTGGAGTAAGGAGTAAGAGAGAACCCCAACTTCTAGCTTTTGGTGTAAGGCAGCTGAAATACAGGCATAATTTTTAAAATATTTGTAACACTGATTGATGGCATTTTGTTTCTCCGAGAGTAAGCCTAAGAGCTGAAGTAAGAGTAAGAAATAAAATGGATTTATTTCCTTACTCCTACTCCTTACTCCAGCTTACTCCATGTATTGTAGACTAGCCTTTAAATTCTGCTAAAATCGGTTTAGTCGTAAGAACAAAAGGTTCTTGATCATCGAGATCTGCCGATTCTATTAATTTATTGAGACGAGAAACTAACCTATAGTCAACCCAACTGGCTAGTTATTTAATTAGTTTAGTTAATTAGTTTATTACACAACGTTTCGACCCTATTCTTTTGGGTCCTTTTCAAGTGTTGTTGATTTGCAGTATCACTCGAAAAGGACCCAAAAGAATCGGGTCGAAACGTTGTGTAATAAACTAATTAAATAACTAACCAGTTGGGTTGACTACAAGTTTCCCGTCTCAATTTTTAATCATTACTGATGACAATAAGCAAACTCTCCTTTCGTCTATTAATTTATATATACTCGAAAAGTAAATTTAAATATATCTATTTGATTCGGAAATATGCTGCCTTTATTTTCATCTCTAGTCAATGACTGTTTTTTTCGCCAACTCGAGTTCTCTTCCTAGCTATTGCGCATTTTAACGTAAACGTGTCGGTAGTGTATACACAGAAGTGGGTAATTTAACATGAGTCAGCAGCGAAGTTCGATCGTTAATAAAACCTCGATCTTCCTACACATTATATATCTCGAAAGAGGAACCATATTCCTTTGTTTTTTTCTTTTCGCTATTTATAAAAATAATTTCAAGCCGCCTTGAGGGGGTAGATGCCTCTTAAAACTACTTGCCCTATGCTTGGGTGAGCGCGTACGGAACTTCTTCCCTTATTAATTGCATATTACAGAGTTGCGAAAAAAAAATTATGGGTATTCCTGTGTCGCTCTTGCTACAGTCAAGACGTATGTCCTTAACCGAATAGATATAGATATTTTTTAAGCAATATAGATTATAAAAGATAAAAGAACAGTTACATTATAATATTAATTAACATATAAATATTAAACAATAAACAAGATATTTTAGAAATGTGATTGAGAATGTTTCTCATCTCCTCTTCTTTTTTTTTCTCCTGTCAATATAATGCACCACATAATATCCACAATTTTTTTTGCACATTCCCACAACTTTTAAGAGCAGAGAAAAATCCTACATAGGTACGTAAGTCATGTTCGTAAACTTGTCCCTTATCGATTTTAAGATGTATCTACCCCTTAACACAGAATGATACCGCCACTGAGCCGCTGCTACTGCGGCTGTGGTGGATTGTGCTGAAGGGAAGGTTGTGGACCCTAAAACAAAGATGTACATTTTACTTATACATCCCAAGGCAATCCTGTTGTTTGTGCGAGTTTAACTATGGCAGAATCTTACAGGTAATGCGGGGAAGGGCGGTTGGGAGTGCGCGTGTGGATGAGAATGCGGATGTGCTATGTGCGCTGCAAGATGGCCTGGTAACTTCGGGCCATCTTCGGCTTTCTCCTCTTCTCTTCTTTTTAAACACGCTGCTTTCGGATTAAGGTTCCGCTCTGAACAAAGAAAGGTTTAGATTAGACACACAACTATTTGCACAGTTTAATACGATGCAATGTTGGTACACACACCTCTGACTTGCTGCTCGAGTGTCATTATAACTTCAACAGCCATGTTGAGAATACCGAGCTTCGTTTGAGGTTTGTCTGTCTTTAAATGTGTCATACACATTCTACCAAGTTCCTTCAGAGCCTCATTGATATCCCTGATACGTATCCTATGATGAAAAACGAAACTTAAGTGTGCTAATTATCTTACTAAGACGAGAGAATCCTCTCTTTGAGTCTCAACATCGAGGAATGGAACGAGCTTGGAAATTTCATGTAATAATTTCGTGATAACGTTACGTTTGTATTTTAATCTACTTTCACACTCATCGCATTAGGTAATATTTTTCTCGTGTATGTTTATAAAACTAGTTAATACAGTAGAGCAGATTATGAAGAAACGTAATTGTATCACAATATCATACATATTTTACGATTCTTTATTAATACAAATGCAATTGTGTACGTATGTGATAGGAGTAATTTGCCATGCATACATATGTACCAGAACATGCCGATTTCGTGAAAGAATGTATAACTGAGGAAACACATGTCATTTATCTTCATCGTCATCGAGCAATACTTTTAGTATCCACGTTACATCGTTATGTCGCATATACATAGAATACGGGCCGCCCATTACTACTGACCAAAATTATCATACCACTGTGGATTAAATAAAATCTGTCTTCCTTTTACAACCGCTGCGTATATCATTGATCTTACCTTTCCCTAGCGTTATTCGCTTGCCGCCTCTCTTTCTCCCTTTGTGCCTTCATGTCAGGATCATCATCCTCGTCCTCGGCGCTCGAACAACAGTTGCGCAATAACAATACGCGATTAATCACCTGGCTTACGTCACAGCTTACTCTAGCACATATCGCTTAAATTACCTAACGGCAATCGAATTACTAACGTGAGAGACACGCGCGCGATACAGAGTCGCAAACTGCAAGAAAATTGCTCCTGACTTGCTGGAGTCTAATCACCTAATTGTTGTTCGAGCGGATTTCGTATACACACATACGTCTCTTATTGCAATAGGCGAAGCGATATGATAATGAACACACGCAGGTGGTTTCGTAATTTTGAAATCGTGGATTTAATAAGTAGGTTACGAATTTAAAGGCCCGTATTCTTTGCACAGAACAAACAGTCGATGATGAATAATCACGTCAAGGGATCAGTGATCTTTTGGATCGAAAAATGCAGATCTTCTACTTTGACGCTGCTACCTAGAAAATTAGAGAATGTAGACATGGCATCTATAATATTTGTCAGTAAAAATCCCCTTTCAGACCAGCACAATTTGGAAAAGGATTTGAAAATAATCGCCGAAACAATAAGAATAAATAAAACTGTACACAAAGCGCTAAAAGTACATGATTAACATCAAAATAGACATTTGACTAGGTGTCCCTGTTGAAAGACCGATACCGATCGACTTCAAGAATGTGTGACAATCCCTCATGGAAATTTACGTGACACGTGTACGGCCAACACAGTCTACCGGCTTCCAAATAATACGACATGTTCTTTCATTTGTACAAAGATAGTGGTAGAAGAATGGGGAGTGAAAAAGAAAAGACCAAAAAAAAATCTATCACAACTGAGCAACTTGATGCAACGTTCAGTGATGCAGAATAAGTGCGGAATGTTTCTAAACGAAGTGGCATGCCTAGGAACCGAATCGCAGCTGAATTAAAATGAGACTGATTTGCAGGTACGCACGAGTGAGCTTGTCAACATTCCATTCATTGTCTCATCTCATTTTTGTCCTTAACCAGAAACATTTTAATTTCCACGCCTGAATACGGGCCTTGTACAGTGCAACGGGTGTGAGGAGCTTTCGGATTGCGGGGACCACTTGTACTTATCCTGGTAACAAAGTCGTAGACATGCCGCGCGTTGTTCCCCCGAATTTCGTTCGTGAATTAATCGTCTCATCGGTTTATTGCTCGTTCATAAATGGCATCTCGTTTTCTTTCTTTCTTTTCTCTTTTTTAAGGCATGCATACGACTAGGTGGCAGGAACTTTCCCTTGGGGAAGATGTACAACGGAGTTTCTTTTCCCCCCCTTTTTGGACGCTCGGCGACGCGGACGTACATACGCGTAACGTCCGCACCGTAAGCACGTATACATTATCGGGACTGCGGGAGCGAGAGAACGAAGGACAGAAGGGATTGTTTGTATCAAGATGCAACGAGGTGCGTACTGCGTGTGTCCACTGACCTTTCACGCACGTTGTTGGCCTGGCGACGTTCTTTCTCGCGCACCGCTTTGGTGCCAGGATCGTCGCAGTCTTCGTCGGCGCTCGAACAACAGTTGTTCAAAGACACAGCAAGTTAGTTCATTCGGGAATAAATTTTCAAAGGTCGGAAATTGAATTCTAGCTCGCGCGATTTTTAGGGAAATTCTCAAGCCAATGTCGTCTATTTTATTTTCTTTTTTTTTTTTCAACGTTTATAAGACGCGGGGCGAAAAGAGGCAAGACATTGAATACCGCGGCGTGTCGATCGCGGCTTCTCTCATTTTTTCTTTTATCGTCGCTCGACACGTCTGAATCTATCGAGAAATTTATTTGGGAATTTGTCTCTTGGCGATTATCCTTCGGATACTTACTATCTGCGCGATCGCTTCGTTCCCTTTCCTTGCGACGTCGAGTTGACGGTAGCAGCCCCGATCACCCCGGCCGCGAGGTCGCTGCTCGATGGCTTCGTCTCGCCGCCGCTGCTGTCGGGCGGGTCTTTCCTCTTTTCTAATGTAGGGATGTATTCTGCTCATTATTAATACTGCCGCGTAAAATTTCCGCGAAAATCGCACTGCCAAATAACTCGCAAGGCAGAGGAAACCAGATAATAAAATTCACGCCAGTCCGAAGTTCGCGCTCCCTTCGTAATTACGAAGACAAAACGTGTCCCAAGTTTACGATTTAGTCCTTTCGCGGATATTTCTTTTTTTAAATTTTTGTTAATAGTTTGTTCAACAAACGCATGTTAAATCAGTGAATCTCAAACGAGTGACTTCATCTAATTCGTTAATGTTTATGTTAATGTACTAGCTTTTGACCCCGCGCGAAGCGCGGGCTCAAAAGCTAGTAAAAGCATGAATCAGATTAGATTTTAGATCAATAACAATGAATCCTGTGCCATTGCATAGTCCTTCCTTGGTATTAAAATTCCTTAATAGAATAATTGTAGCACTTATTTTTATTTTGAGTCGATAAACTGGCATTCCAGAGGGTGTCACAGATTTTAAAAACTCAGTCGGGGAAATTCTTCTCCGAAAAATTTGCAACATTTTGTACCGATTTCACAAACATCGGACCATAATCTCCCTGTACATGGAGATCTCGAAACTGATTTGAAATTTTTTTATTTTTTTGGGTATGCGTGAATGCGTGGGTGGGTGCGTAGGTGCACTGAGAGAAAAGTGCGTAGTATTTGC